TACCAGGTGAGGTACAGTACCAGGAATATATAAATTAAAAAAATATATATTACAAAAAAACAACCATTTCACTCAGCATTGCACCTTCCTACATCCCCTGTTGTACCCATAATCCACTTGTTCTCCCCCCCCCCCCCCCCCCCAGAGCTTCCAGGAGGAGGTGGCCTCCCACCAGCCCCTCGCCTCCTCTGTCCTGCACACAGGAGAACTGCTCCTCAGCTGCCTCAAGAGCACCTCCCCGGGTCAGTGGTGTGTGTGTGTGGTGTGGTGTGGTGTGGTGTGGTGTGGTGTGTGTGTGTGTGTGTGTGTGTGTGTGTGTGTGTGTGTGTGTGTGTGTGTGTTGGGTGGTGTAACCCAACACACAGCACGGCTCTGAGGAAATAGGAAACTAGGGACTGTGGCACAATGCAGACTTGCATCACTGATCGGGTTAACGGCAGAGGGGGAACTTTGTGTTCTGCAGATGCATTAGAAACAAACATCTTATAATGCTGCAAGTGGTATATGGCTTCATCTCTCTCCCCTCTCTCCCTGTCTCTCTTCCCCCCCCCATCTCTCTCCCTGTCTCTTTCCCTCTGCCTGTCTCCCCCCCCCTCTCTCTTTCTGTAGTTCTGAGGGACACTCTGGCTCTGATCGAGAGGCAGACTAAGGCGCTGGAGAGCCACACTGAGAACCTCTTCTCTGCCATCCTGTCAGCCATGGACAGCCTGACCCAGGGACAGACAGACAGATAGACAGACCAGCAGACGGACAGACAGACAAATTAACCAGCAGACAGACCAGCAGACAGACAGACCAGTAGACAGACAGACCAGTAGTCAGACAGACCAGCAGACAGACAGAACAGCAGACAGACAGACAGACAGATAGACCAGAGGATCACCTTTGTTAGCTTTGTTTGATTTATTTTTTATGCCAGTATGCAAAAAACCAATGCATATGATTTTTAATGTTTATTTATTTATTTCAGTTACATTTTAGCACAACTATTGGTTTAGATGTTTGTTTCCATTTCATCTAATTGGACATCCTTTATGAACTCCTGGCTCTGCAGTCCAACAACCAAACCTGTGACAGTATTTAGTTTTCTGAACTGATGAATATTCAGCATCTGGCTGTCGTCTGTTGGAGAGTCCTGATGGACAAATTACTTATGTATCACTTATATATGCAGAGTGCTCTTTACCTAAGTGTACTTTTGAACCTTTTTCACCCTAAAAAATAATTGTATTTAATAAGCATATCTTGAACATACATCACCACAGCACATTTTGATTAAACTGTATTAAACTTTTTTCCTTCCACACAAAATAGATATATATATTTTTACAATTCATAGTAAATCGTTTTTTTACATTTTTTTTTACAGTTTACCAGTGGTTACAATTTACTAATAGCTACAGTATGGACGGTTAGGTGGTCGATTTTTTTAAATGTGATTTTCTGCAATAGAGACTTGTCTTTCTTTCTATTCTGTAACGCTCCAATAGCCACATTTATTTATGATTGCTCGCTTGCATGTGATCAATAAACCTCTCTCTTTCATACTTTCTGGTGAGAAAATATCTTCGGTTGTGTATCGGTCACTAATTGAATAACTCGTAACAATAACTCAAAGTCGAACCTCTCATATGGTTAAAAAGAAAGCAGTTTGGCCATTCAATGTTTGTCGTGTAATCACAATGAGGCTGTTCAACAGCAACCAAACACCAAACCTGATTGGCCCGTCCTCAGCCAATCAGAACCAATGCCTTAGTGTTTGGTTTCTCTTTAATAATAGAGTTGAAGTTCTCATGTTTTTATCTCTTGTCCTACAGCTACAGGTATGTGATGTATGTGATATAGGTAAAGATATGTGATGCAGCTATTTGCCCTCCATTGTCAGTAATAATGTGGATAACTACTTATTTCTACAAACTCTTCCTGGTTTAAACTAAAACATTGTTAAAGATCAGGCCTTAACATTTTTAAAACCTCCCTAACTTTGTATTATCCCAGTGCAGATGTAGTTTCAAATAAGAACAGTGCTTTAAAAACAAATGTAAGCTAAAGTATCTTTTATAATTTTCTATTTTTCTCACTTTTACAATGTGCTGTTGTTGGAGCAGAAGGTACCACAAGCTTACACAAAATAAAGTCTTTGAAAGATGATTTGGTCAGTTGTCTTCATTGTCCTGTCGTTTGCGTGTTATACATTAAAGTAACTGACTGAATGTTTTCTTTCGATGTTGAAAGTAAACCTTTCAGTGAAAAACCATCGCTCCATGCAGACAGGTTAAAAAGCCTTGTAACGTTAGCAAAATTACTCCTCCTTGTGTAACCTTGTGTAACCGTGTGCTGACTCACAGGGAACAGTGGAAACCAGCAGCGTTGCAGCGAGTCCAGTGGAAAGGAAGCGTAAGACTCGCTAGCGTTGTGAACACAATGAGCCCAGAGGTCCGTCTCCAACTGGATTCAGTTGCCTTTATTATAGAAACAAGAGAACAGTGTATTTTATTTTATATATAGTTGCATTTCTGCAGAGTACACCGGTCGAGGGCCAGTGAGTATCTGATAACCGACAGAGGAATTACCTTATGGATGTAGAATAAATAATTCTAACAAAAAGTTGTTTGTTTTAATCTTTACAAGAAATGCACGCAGATCCTGTTCGGTTCATACAGCCTTGATGATTAGTATTTATTTTTTTCAGTGTTACATGTCGAGCAACAAACTCACAATATGAGTCTTTAGCCACAAAACCAATCCAGACATCAAGACTGAGAGAAGTCACCGCTTTACCCAAAATGATGGATTGACTGAACTGGCAGATCGGAGTTTACACATATATACACATACACATGTATATATAGTTTTGCACAAGACTTAATGTTGGACAGTGACACCGTTGTGCAGAAGTTGGCATAGAAACGAAACCGAACAGGGAGGGGGAGAAACAACACATGCTGATCACCAAACAGCATTTAACCAAAAAATCTTTGACTCAAACTAAAACGCAGACAAACAGAAGACAGAGCAAGTTGAATACCAACCCCACTTAAGGAATGCAGTGAAACACACACACACACACACACACACACACACACACACACACACACACACACACACACACACACACACACACACACACACACACACACACACACACACACACACACACACACACACACACACACACACTTGTCATAAACCTGCAACAAAGGGCTGTTTGACCGGACTCCTTGTGTCTCAGCGAGGCCTATGGGTGAGGAGAGGTCTTGTCAATGGGAACAGGATGGAAGATGGAAGAGAAAAGGGGGGGGGGGGGGGGGGGGGGGGGGAGATGAATTGCCTGGTCGATTTTTTTAATCTTATTTCAGTTTAAACAATAATTGTCCTATACAACATGGCGTTACTTCTTTTGATAGTGTGGCTACGATACGAACAGAGCAGTGACAGCCAACTGCCAGCGGGTTTGCTTTTCTTTCTGACCCTCGCGTACGAAACCGCCGCTCCAGAAACTCCTCTGTCCGTCTCTCTTCTTCTTCTTCTTCTTCTTCTTGGTAGTTGGGTTTTTGAGGTGGACACAGTGGAGGTTCGGAGGAGGATGGCAGCCATGTTAGGAAGGTGTAGGAGGCGGCCATATTGGTGAGGTGTCTAGAGGACGAGGATGGCGGCCATGTTAGGAAGGTGTAGGGGGCGGCCATATTGGTGAGGTGTCTAGAGGACGAGGATGGCGGCCATGTTAGGAAGGTGTAGGGGGCGGCCATATTGGTGAGGTGTCTAGAGGACGAGGAGGATGGCGGCCATGTTAGGAAGGTGTAGGAGGCGGCCATATTGGTGAGGTGTCTCGAGGACGAGGAGGATGGCGGCCATGTTGGAAAGGGTGTGTAGGGGGCAGCCATCTTGGGAAGGTGGGGGCCCGGGGATGGGTGGAGGCGAGGGGCGTTCCTCAGCAGCAGCCGCCTGACGAGGGCTTGACGCTGGTCCCGGGGGTCAGCTTGACGCTGGGCTTGTCCCCCCCGCCCGCCGCCGCGCCGGGGCCCATCCTCTTCTTGATCTCGGCAGCCATGGTCATGAAGGCCTGCTCCACGTTGGTGGCGTTCTTAGCACTGGTCTCCAGGAAAGGGATTCCCAGCGAGTCTGCAAACTCCTGGAGAGACGGAGAGAGAGAGACGGAGGCAGGGAAGAACTGTTATGATTTCAAATAAAGCTTTTTCTATCTAAAGACATTTATATATGAAAAGAACACAAACGTCTCTCACTCCATCTTTCTATTGACCTTCCTGTCTATCAACCAGACCTCTCATATCTCTCTCTCTCTCCCCCCCCCCCTCTCTCCCTCCCCCTTCACCTTGGCCGTTGTGTAGTCCACCACCTTCTTCGTCGTCAGGTCACATTTGTTGCCCACAAGGAGCTTGTTGACGTTTTCACTGGCGTAGCGGTCGATCTCCTGGAGCCACTGTTTGACATTGTTGAAGGACTCCTGCGAGGGGACAGCGCAGCACAGACAGCAGCACAGACACGCTGGGTCAGAGCTTTCAGAGCTACAACAGAAGTAGCTCCACCCTTTGGATAAACACATCTTCTCAATGACTAAAAAGTTAAGACTACATCTGCAGTTTTGGCTTTTGGATCAGAACAATGCTTTTTATCATCTTACTGCAAGTAAGTCAGCAGGTTAGCAGCGGTCGCCGTTATCCAAAGAGATTTTAAGTGAATGAATTTTCGTGACACACACACACACACACACACACACACACACACACACACACACACACACACACACACACACACACACACACACACACACACACACACACACACACACACACACACACACACACACACACACGTAAAATGATCAATTATTCTATCCATGTATCAATTTTGTAAAACAGAGCTGAATAAGTTCAATCTAATTTTATTCAGTAGATACTTTTATTGGGAGTGACTTTTATTAACTTTTCTAGAAACATGTTTAGGCACTATGGCCCCTTGCTCCAGCATGCCTACAGAACTGGGTGGAGATTGGGGTTCGAACCCAGGACTTTTGGGCTGAGAGTCCAACACCCTGACCACCTGGACTGACCAGGACCTTTGGGCTGAGGGTCCAACACCCTGACCACCTGGACTGACCAGGACCTTTGGGCTGAGGGTCCAACACCCTGACCACCTGGACTGACCAGGACCTTTGGGCTGAGGGTACAACACCCTGACCACCTGGACTGACCAGGACCTTTGGGCTGAGGGTACAACACCCTGACCACCTGGACTGACCAGGACCTTTGGGCTGAGGGTCCAACACCCTGACCACCTGGACTGACCAGGACCTTTGGGCTGAGGGTCCAACACCCTGACCACCTGGACTGACCTGGTCCGTGACGTCGTACACCACTATGATACCGTGGGCTCCTCTGTAGTAACTGGACGTGATGGTCCTGAACCGCTCCTGGCCCGCCGTGTCCCACTAGAGATACAGACACACAGAACCTGCTGGTCACACTAGAGATACAGACACACAGAACCTGCTGGGTCACACTACAGATACAGACACACAGAACCTGCTGGTCACACTAGAGATACAGACACACAGAACCTGCTGGGTCACACTAGAGATACAGACACACAGAACCTACTAGAGATACAGACACACAGAACCTGCTGGTCACACTAGAGATACTGACACACAGAACCTGCTGGGTCACACTAGAGATACAGACACACAGAACCTGCTGGGTCACACTAGAGATACAGACACACAGAACCTGCTGGGTCACACTAGAGATACAGACACACAGAACCTGCTGGGTCACACTGGAGATACTGTATCTGTGACCCAGCAGGTTCTGTGTGTCTGTATCATACAGATACATTGGGATTTCCTTATAGAGCAGAGGAGCATTGGAAAGATAGTCATTATCTTAGTAGTCATGGTTTTTTGGTCATTGTTTAGTAATTAATCATGAAAGGATATCATTCTAATAAAAAAAATATTTGTTAATAATGCAAGTATAAAGACAGGGTTAGGGTAAGTGGTTAAAAATAACCACACACTACTTCTTTATTCAACAGAACCACAGCATCCACCTCCAGTGCCTGATGCTGATGGTTGTAGGAAACAAGAAGTTTAAAGACCCCCTGGTCACGGTGCAAGTCTCACAAGATGACTAAAAAACCCAAATACGCCTAACATACATTATTAATAGTAGCAGTACATTCGCACCAGAAAAGACCTTTGACCCAATTCCTATAAAGATGCAGATAAGCGTTAGCCTGGCATCGCCAGAGCTATTCATTTTCCATTTCCAAGGGGCGTTATCAACGGGCGCAGACCAAAAACGCCTCTGGACACAATTGGATAGACCTGCAACCAATCAGAGCAACGAAACACGTGACGTAAATTCAACTTTTACCAAATCCTGTCGGAAGTACGGCATACACATCGTTCTGTCGAGTGCAGTCATTTGTCCTTTTAGAGAAAAATATACCGTCCACTTTGTTGAATACTGTCCGGATAGCGGATTCAACAGACACACCTGCGGCAGCCATCTTGGTTGTTTACGAAGATCGTCGCTCGACAATCGTATCAAACCCGCCCCATATTAGATAAGTGGTTGTGATTGGCCCGACCCGGGCCACGTCAGCTGTCAATCTGAACGGGAGAGCAAATAAAACTTGTGCTGGCAGATTCGTCTAGTTCACAGGATGCTGGATGCTGACGTTTGTAGGAAACAAGACATACAAGACCCTCTGGTCACGGCGCAACTCCCCAAACATTATTATTGCAGTTCATTCGCACCAGAAAAGACCTTTGACATAATTCCTCCATAGACCCAGATAAGTACCGGGTCTGGTATCTGGTACCGGGTCAGAGAGGAGAGTGAGGCGCCTGGTACTTACGATCTGAAGCTTTATAGTCTTCCCGTCCAGCTCTATGGTTCGTATTTTGAAGTCCACGCCGATGGTGCTGATATAACTTTCTGTGTAGGTGTCATCCTTTGTTTCAAGAAAAAAAGGAAAGGAAATAGTAGATTTAGGGTCAGCACAAGTTTGCACAAACATCCTGCAGCTTGCTTCCTGCTTCCAGGACGTAGAGGCACTCACACAGGAACAGCAGTCAATATTAGTCGGCTGCTGCCGTCGCCCGTTTTGGATAATTAGGACTCAGTGAGTAACTGGGATCTCGACCCTACTGAGGGGTCTCGACCCTACTGAGGGGTCTCGACCCTACTGAGGGATCTCGACCCTACTGAGGGATCTCGACCCTACTGAGGGGTCTCGACCCTACTGAGGGATCTCGACCCTACTGAGGGATCTCGACCCTACTGAGGGGTCTCGACCCGACTGAGGGGTCTCGACCCGACTGAGGGATCTCGACCCTACTGAGGGGTCTGGACCCGACTGAGGGGTCTCGACCCGACTGAGGGATCTCGACCCGACTGAGGGGTCTCGACCCGACTGAGGGGAGGCTGAGAGGCGGTTGTACTCAAGACAGGGAAAGTGACTCAACTTATTATTTTGAAATTCAAATGAGAAGCTCAAGTCATAGTGAGCTGTTGCTGACTAGAGCAGTACAGGCAGACCTCTGTTACGCAGACTGCGGCTATCTGTGTCTTTAATGTTACTGTTGTCATCTTTAACACATTATTATACACAACGTGATCAACATTTACTATTTAGCACTTTAGCCAAAACAACTTACTGAACTATTTTAGAATCAGGTCTTTAATGAGCAGGTAGGGGTTTTGGTTAGGGCAGCTCAAGGATGCCTACAGGAAGACAGTGGACATTGGGATTCAAACTCATAACCTTTGGGCTGGGAGTCAAACACCTGACCACTACTAGACAATCCTTCCCACATCAGGTTGACTTTTTGCTGGGGAATGTTCACATTTTACCCCTCACTAGATTACATTGTTTTCTTGGCTGGTGAGTGAAGCGACTCTACCAGCCGCTGGTGAAATGTGCCACATGTATAAAGAAAACGGAAAATAACCTTCCACAGATGTCTCTAGGATCTAGTCCTAACCTCGTCCTTCCTGATATCCTGCATCTACGGTCCAGAGGATATGAGATGTGCACCAGACTCAGACAAATCTGGCGTACGGAGCGAGAACCCAGAACCGAGTCTCTTTGAGACGCAACGTACCGCGAATCGCAGGAGGAGGCAAGACTTTCCCACCCCGGAGTCACCGATGAGGAGCAGCTTGAATAAATAGTCACTGTGGAGACAAGGAGGAGAGACAGCGGGTTAGAGCAGCACCTGACAGACCGTATAAGGACTTCCTGTAGGGGCACGCTACCCGGGACCGACCGCATTAGGACTGTGGTACTTTACTCTATACACAGCTCAGGAATAACTCATCCAAAACACAAATCTAGTTTCTGGTGAAACTCTGCTGATTGCAATGGCTGAGGTCGCCATACAAACTGCCATCTGGGGTTTGATTCAAGTGTCACTAGAAAGACGTCGTTAGGTCATGACGACACACAGCCATGCTAATTCTGACTTTTTCCTGACTGATAACCAACACTCGTTAACCGGTCAATATCCGTTAACTGATAAGAATAATTGTGCTATAAAAAAATGGACGAATGTCTGTGACCCATAAGAAAATTGCAATTTTATTGGAAAGGAGGGCTGGCCAGATTCATACTCAACGAAAGGAAAGCACTGATGCTTTTTTACAGCTTGGTCCGTCTCGACGACGGCTAGACTTTCATTATAGTCTAAAAATACATGCATCACATGTATCCCCTTACCAATATCAAATGGGACTATATTGTGTTTGGTATTATCATTTGGGATATGTGCAGTAAAAAAAAAAAAAAAAAAAAACACAAAACTGACAGATTAAAAAATGAAGTCCAGTCCATGCAACTCAACATAACACTTCCTGACGAGGGGAAACGTTTCACACGGTCTACAGCGGGCAGAGCACTTCCCTGGAAGTCACCTCCCTGTTGAATCAACTGGAGGTCGAGGAAAGTCATTCACATTACAGATTAACCACCGCAGACCTACTGCTTCAGAAGGTGGTCAATGTAGACTTGAATTAGATTGAAATGCAGATCATCAGTGTTTACAGCGAGTCATCGTCTCCACATAGCAAGTTGACGTCACCAAGTGTCTGGTGATGTTTTACTGTTCTGCACTATAGTCCATCTGTAAAAACGCTGACAGTGTGGTATCTGGCAGCTGACACGTCTGATTTGTTAACAGCGAATGAAAACTTTCCAAGTGACAGCAAATGTCACCAGTGTCTTCAGTAAGAAAGCATTGTGTGTTGGGTGGTGTAACGAGGGCACAGCATGTGACTGTGAATTAGGGCCCAAACTAGACAAGCTAAGCGTTAACTCTGCTTCCTCTTCCAACGGGAAGCGGCATGTGCCCATGTCACAGCGGCTTGGTTGGGGTTAGTGTAGGAAAGCTGTAGTTGATTCACAGAGGGTTGGATTCCCACTAGCAGCGACTTGTCTTTTGTTGTGAAGAACCATAAAAGACAGCCAGCAGGATAATACTGGGTGGGTGCATGCCAACGCCAGCTAGCTAGCTGATGTCCCAGCAGCCCTGTGGTGAGAGACAAGGCAGGGAAGGGTGTGGCCACCATTTTGAACTCATACATGTCACCACAAAATGTGTGATGACAGTGTTAGATGCCGTGCTCTCCCTTCATCTTCTCACACATTGTGTGTGTTTCTATGTAAGCACACACACATCCCTTGACCTACTATTCATGCCAAATCACTGGACAGCAATGGCCTTTTTTAATTCCTTACAACACATGAGTACTTCCTTAAATAAATACCTGCAATACCTTCTTCCAACAAGGTCCATGGACTAGGACCGTGAGGCTGAAACACAAGTTAGACCTGAAGGCTCATTGAATAAACTAATAGGTTTGGCCTTTCCTGGAAAACTAAGAATTCAGGCAACTGACATGAGTTGAACAACAATACGGCCATACATCACTTCCCTCTGCGGTTCTAGTCGCACCGACCCGACCGACCCAACCGACGTCTCTAACACAAACACCCAGCGCCAAGAGTTATGTCATCTCCTTTCATTCAGAAATTAAAAGGCAGGTGA